TAGCTTTATTTTTAATTTTTTGAGGAACCACTATATTATTTCACAGTGGCTACACCAGTTAGCATTCTTGATGCATTCTGTGCATCAAGGTTTCTTTTTCTCCACATCCTTGCCAACACTTGTTTCTTGAGGGTTTTATTTTAGCCATTCTGACAAGTGTGAGATGATATCTAATTGTGGTTTTGATTTTCATTTCCCTGATGATGAGTGATGCTGAGTAGTATCTCCTCATGCCTCTGTTGGTCATATGGATGTCTTCTTTGGAGAAGTGTCTGTTCCCGTCTTCTGCCCATTTTTAAATTGGATTTACTTGGGGTTTTTTTGGTGTTGAGATGTATAAGTTCTTTACATGTCTTAGATACTAACCCTTCATTGGATATGTCATTTGGAAATATCTTCCCCCATTCAGTGGGTTGTCTTTTGGCTTAGTTGGTTGTTTTCTTCAGTGTGCAGAAGCATTTAACTTTGATGTAGTCCCAGTACTTTATTTTTTGCTTTCGCTTCCCTTGCCTCAGGAGACATATCTAGAAGGATGTTGTTATGACCAATATCAGAAAAATTACTATTTTTGTTCTCTTCTGGAGTGTTTAAGGTTTCAGGTCTCACATTTATGTCCTTAATTCATTCTGAGCGTATTTTTGTTTATGGTGCAAGAAAGCAGTCCAGTTTCATTTTTTTCAAATGCAGCTGTCCAGTTTTCCCAATACCATTTGTTGAAGAGACTGTCTTTTTCCCATTGGATATTCTTTCCTGCTTTGTTGAAGTTTAAATTTTTTTTTTAGATTTTATTTATTTATTTGACAGACAGAGATCACAAGTAGGCAGAGAGGCAGGCAGAGAGAGAGATAGGAGGAAGCAGGCTCCCTGCAGAGCAGAGAGCCCGATGCGGGGCTTGATCCCAGGACCCTGGGATCCTGACCTGAGCCGAAGGCAGAGGCTTACTGCTTTGTTGAAGTTTAATTGACCATATAATTGTGGGCTGATCTCTGGACTTTCTATTCTGGTCCATTGATCTATAAAAATCTGTTGTATTTCTATACACTAATATTGAAGCAGGAGAAAGAGAAATGGAAACAATGACATTCACAATTGCACAAAAAATAATAAGATACCTAGGAATAAACTTCACCACAGAAGCGAATGACCTGTAGTCTGAAAAATGTAAAATACTGATGAAAGAGATTGAAGATAACATAAAGAAATGGGAAGACATCCCATGCTTGTGGAGTGCAAATATCGTTAAAATGTCTACACTACCCAAAGCAATCTACAGATTTAATGGAATGCTTATCAAAATACCAACCACATTTTTCATAGAACTAGAACAGACAATCTTAAAATTTGTGTGGAACCAGAAAAGACCCCAAATAGTGAAAGCACTCTCGAGGAAGAAAAACAAGAGTGGAAGTATCATAATTCCAGACTTCAAGTTATATTACAAAGCTGTATTAATATAACTGATCTTTGAATTCTGTTATCTAAAAGTTATTTCTTTAGCTTTCCTGCATTCATTTAGTATTGATTCAATTAGTATTTGTCAAGTGCCTACAATGTGCCAAGCATGATTCCAGGCAACAGAGAATTGTCAGTGAACAAGAGACAAAGACCTCATCAGTGTTTGAGAAGCTTACATTCTAATGGGGGGAATAGGAAAAATTCAAGAGAAATCTAATAAACAGGTACATTATATAGAATGTTAGAAGGCAGTGAGAGATATGGCAGAGGAGAATAATGGAAATAGAAATTTTGGGGCTGGGCATAGTAGGTAGGTTGCAGTATTACATAGAATGGTCAGATAAATCTCATTGAGAAGAGGTTATATGAGCAAACATTTGGAAAGAGTGTGTTGACAAATGAATGGTGATGATAGGACATTCCAGGCAAAGGGAAAAGTTATGGGAAAGTTCTAAGACAAGGGAATGGCTGCCAGTTGTGAAGAATAGCAAGAAGGGCAGCTGGTGCCATCTGAGCAAGCCAAGGAAATGTTCTATAATAGTGGCAATGTTAGACAGGTGACAGGTGATGAAATTTGGTCAAATCTGTAGCCTCGTAAGGATTTTTACTTCTGTTCTGAATGAAATGGGGAGAGGAGAATCATTACTGGATTTTGAGAAAAACAATGATATGATCTTATGCTTTAAAGTGTTCACACTAGATGCAATGTTGAGGAAAAAGTAGGGAGACAGGATAGAAACAAGCCTGTAAGGATGCTACCAGCAAAGAATTTTGTCAATATTAATTTGGACCCATAGGAGAGCTCTGGCAGTGATTAAAAGTGCCCAGATTCTGCATGTATTTTGAAGGTAGTGTCTATATTATTTCCTGAGAAATTAGATGTCAGATATGTAAAAAAGAAGGAATAAAATGTTATTCAATTCTGAAGTCTGAGCAGTAGGAATGATGGAGTTGTCATAAACCAAGATGTGGAGGTTTGTGGATATAAGAGGTTTTTGAGTTCAAGGGAGACCAGGAAATAGATTTTGAACATGTTTTGTCTAATATGTATATTAGAAATCCAAGTGAAGATGTTCGGTTGGCAACTGGAATATATGCACCTGAGATTCAGATGGTAGATCTAAGCTAGTAATGTAAAGTTGGATATCATTACAACATAGATGGAATATAAAGCCACAAGAACAGTTAGGATTAACAAGGGAAGGACTGTAGATGCAAACAAGAGCAGTACCCAAAACTGAGTACTAAAACTTTCCAGTATTAAGAGATTAAAATGTAAAAAGGGGACCAATACACAAGATTGAGAAGGAAGTAGAAGGAAGGAAAATGAGAGTGCAGATTCTGGAAGCCCAGCGATGAAGACATAGCAAGGAGGAGAGTGAGCAATTACATCAAATCCCACTGATGGTCAAATAAGATGAAGACTATGAATTACCATGATAAGTTTATGTTATTAAAGAAATGGCATATATCCATAGAAGATATAGCATATTTATTGCTTTTAGTCATTTGTTGCTTGAGCAAATTAAAACCTTAGGGACTGACCAAAGGATATTTTCTGAAAATATTGAGTTCTTTAGGCTTAGGGGAGATTATAGTAACCAAACATCAGGCCAGAAATGGTACTGAAATTTAAAAGTTTGTATCAACTTTTCCTTAGCTGGACACCTCCAAGTGATACACAACTTCCAAGTTATGATTAAATACATTAAATTTTCCAGGGCTACAAATTTAGTTACAAAGGTTTGTAGTCTATTTATTTCTCTATGAATAATTTGATCTTTCTCATATGCTTCCAGATTTGGGTTAGCAAGGGGAAAAGCCTAGTATTTAATTTAATATAACAAATTTAATCCATACAATACTTTGAATAGTCAATGAGAGTGTATGTTCAATATCATTTACACAGTTGGTGATTAAATACACAACTCTCAGATTTCTGGCCCTCCCCTCTCCTTCTCACCAAAAGAACACTTGGTGGAGAGAAATATGAATATTTAGGAGCTAGTTTATAAGAGTGATAGTGCCTCAGATCATGAAGATATTTTCTGCATCCTTGCTCATCTTGGTTTTGGAATGGTAGTTCTGGACAACTCTGGACATGTAGCTGATGAGATATAGAAGTCCACAGTATGAGCATTTTTTCAAAATCAGCTGCCAAACCATACAGCTGGTTAATTTACTACCTTTTTTGTCTCATTTTTGTCAGAGCCAAGTAAACTTCTATAATGCTTTAGCCTCATCTTTACTCTCATTGGAACTGAAGAATCCCCCTAAGTTCTTGGTCTCACAGAGTCTATCAATGTGGTCTACTTTATAGCTCCTGGCTACTAGAACAATCTGTCCCTGCTATGGTCCTAAACAACTCCATCTGTCAAACTTCCCAACCAGGTTCTAGATAACATGCAAGTTCCTCTGTTAGGAGCAGATAAGAAATTTGGGGCCCATTAATGCTACTTAGGGATTGAGATAAATTCAAGAGAGTTGTATTTAGGACTTCCCCCTCTGCCTGATCTTGCTATATCACTGAGTTCCTAGCAATGTGGTTATTTCAAGAGTCCAAAAAGATGATAGGAGCAGAAGCCACTGTATTCTCAATGTTCTCTCAGCATAGTTAAAAAGGAAAGAAAGAGGAAGAGAAGGAAAAAAAAGAAAGAAAGAGAAAAAGGGAGAGAGGGAGGGAGGGACGGAGGAGAAAAAATAAAGAAAAGAGGAGAGGAGGGGGGAGGGGAGGGGAGGGAAGGGGAGAGGAAGAGAGGGGAGGAGAGGGGAGGGAAGGGGAGAGAAAAGAAAAGAAAAGAAAAGAAAAGAAAAGAAAAGAAAAGAAAAGAAAAGAAAA